GCTTTCTCTCCCATAGGCTACAGAGTTTAGCTCTCGAATCCTGAAAACACAGATGAGCATCACAGTCATGTACGGATACTCCGGTACATGACAAAATTTTCAGGGGCAAACTGGATAAATAAACGCACTTCTCACTATTTTGGACAATTCACATTATGGACACTTTGGACATATCCATATCAACAAGACATATCACTGTACTATGCACCTGTCAAAGAAGATAAAACAAATGCTTAGCTGAAGGCACTAATAGTTCTCCGACGTACTAACACCAACAACCCATCATTGTATAATTTTCTAAGAAATCAGCCTAGGATGAGGCCGGGAAGTACTCATATTCGATGCATGCAGGATATAGAGGGGCAAAGAGTGTGGCAGCACAGATACTTATTATCCCAGTACACACAGTATGGATGGAACAAGCTGCCACCCTCCTGATTGCCGGTTAAGCTCAATTAATTAACCTCTTTCGGCAAAAGTGGTACCCCGTGCCGGAGGATTGTCTTGGTAGGAAACTCGAGGAAAGAAAAGACGCCACTGCAGAGGAGAGGGGATGAGAGAGGCTTCTTTGTACGAACTTTGGGGAGAAGGGAAAGCCGCACCGAGCACAAAAGGAATGACTTGCAAGCTGAATCTAGGCCACTGTAGCTCGACGAAGCTAGCGGGATCTAGGATCCTCGCTCGAAGGAATGTCCAAGCGCTCTGTCGAGCCACGACCACGCAGCCCCATACTGAGACGTCCTCAAACTGGGAATCTGAAAGAAGGTGGATTAGCAAAAACATTCTTCAGTTAACTGGCGTGCTGGATTTCTCGGAGTTCATGCACTGATCTGTTCAAAGTCAAATTGGACGTTTCAGTGTTTATACAGCGTAAGGTCGGTCTGCGAGGATGGGGCGACACTGGTTTACACTTTAGATGAGAAATTTTGCCACTGCAGTACGACTGATAACCTGGGGTCTTTAACGTGCTCACGCAGTAGTGATACACGACCGCACATCGGTGCGATGCTCATCCAGATCAATCTGTCGTTGATAGTACGATCCTTGGAAACAGTTTTGGACCATTCTATTTGTGTAAGCTTGAGCCGATTATTACTTATCTGTACATAGCACTACTTTCATGTCTGCGATAAACTCCTAAAATAGGAAATGAGAAAATGGCCGCCGGCTCACCACGATGGTGCCCCTTGTGGTTGCAGCAGTGATGACGTAGACTCGTAGAGCATGTGCAGGCATGTATGGCACGCACCATTAGTAATCGGTTTACTAGAAATCAATTTCTTCCAAAAGTAATTTTTGTAATGCTTCATTTATTTTTTTACCTAGAGTGACCATGAGCAATAGTCTGATTTCTTTTATAAGTACTACTGAAGTTACTATATCACAGTAACTGTTATTCAAAGGGCTACCCGGTTATATTTATTAAAAAGTGAAATTTAAAGAGTGTTTTAATTTTTTTTTATTACGCAGGCATAGCAAAAGAAAGAATATAATTTTCTGCAAGGAAAGGACGTCAAATAACAAACCACAAGTTGTTTAATAAAGTCAATAGCGCACATAAATTACTGGACTATAAGTTAGCAACGTAGTAACACGGTGAGGTAACCTGAAGCTTAATACTTCACTTTTGAGCAATCATTCGTTGGCTTTTACGTCGAGTAATTAGCAATCCAATTAAATACTTTTCCCGCAGAAGCAACAGACAAAACATCCATGTCATGCAGCCCTCGCAGTGATAACAAACTGGCTCGAAAGGATCTCGTTGGAAATGAAAACATTCGGTCTCTGTGTACGTACGCCGTGAAAAGGAAAAACGGTGGCGTCCCAAAGGCAGAATGCACACCGTCGCGAACTTAACCGGCATCTTTATGAGCTCACGTTATTTTTCAGAGATCTCTTGTCGAGCTGCTCAGCCGCAAAACTCCCGAGACACATCGCACGGGCAGTTTGACGAGTCTGTGTCGACACAGGGAAAAGCCAGATTACAGGCAGCAACAAAAGCATACAATAGACCAGCTTAGAAAGCGTTACTCACAGTTTCTGGAGATTATTAGCTTATCAACAACGCAATGGTTTGGTGATATAAGAGCCAGCACAAACAAAATCCATTTTGAACCGCCATCGCTGGATTGGATTGTCTCCTAATGTAGCCGCTTCGAGGAAATCTGCAAAATTTGCTCATTATGGTTTTGTTTCGGTTTGAGGTATTCTTGTTTGTTATGCAACATAAATTCGTTGAAAATAATTGTCGCGATTTCAGAATTCAGCTCCACAAGCAATCCAAGACTCAAAAATTCGTTTTTTTTCTCTCTAAATATTGAAAGCTTGCTAATGTGCAGGCATTGGTAAATTATCCAAGCATCAAGCAGGGATTGGTGTTCCACACGCCGCACGTGCTGGCCTCAGCAGTAGTTACTTTTCTAAAGCAAGTGCCTAAAACAAATTGCATGTTGCACCAAGCTCGTTGCGTTGCACGCGCGTTCGTCAATGCTCTATTTTGGTTATTTACTTTGAATCTCTTATACTGGGAAGGCGTGCGCGTGTGGCGCTTGGAACACCAATCCCTGCATTCTCCTTGATGCTTGGGTGATTCAGCAATAAATCTATTCGCATATGCCGTCATGTTATGTCAATCCTAGACAGCCTAGAGTCATACAGAGGTGGAGTCATATACTACACAAGGACCACACACCAACATTTTGACCGGATCACTCACACTGGAACCATTTGCAGGGACTGAAACCCACGCTCTTTCCGTTATTTGGTAAAGTACACCTAAGAAGTACTGGAAGTACAAAGTAAATGGGCGGTTCTGTACTTCAAGTAAAGTACTATAAATGCAATGCACACGCTTTCAAAGCTCAAGTAAAGTACTATAAATGCAATGCACACCCTTTCAAAGCAAAGTAAAAGTATTTTTTAACACAATATTTAATTTTTAAAACTGGTATATACATCGCTCCACATGTACGACGAAACCGTCCGATCCGACGTGCGGGCTGCCGGAATGACCTTGGGGGGAGAGGGTTTTCGTAGCATCGGAGAGCGTTGAAAACCCTCGCCTCCGACCGTCGTATTGCGCGGTCGGACGTCGGATCGGACGGTTTCGTCGTACATCAGTTACTTTCGAAAACAGCTGGCGAATTTTGAATCATTCATGTGGCCAGTGGTTGTTTTACGCTCGCTGAAGACCTATTTAAAGAGACACTGACATCCTTCAGAATACTTTTTTTTTTTTTTTTTTTTTTTTTCAGGTGATTTAGTATGGTGTCAGAAGACTACCCAGTCCGAATAGCTGCGTTCGATTTAGCTGAACCTCCTGTACCAGTGCAGAAAAGTCGAGGTAGAGAGAAGTTGAGAAAAGTCAACAGAAAAGTGTAGGGCTATCTATTTCCATTATGTGTATTGAGATACGACCGAAAGTACACCGCCCTACTTTTCTACACCGGCACAGGAGGTGCAGGTAAATCGAACACAGCTATTATTTTGCTGCAGCGTTACGCGTTACATAAAGGAGGGGTGTGTTGAGGAAGTCACGTGACTAGACCGGATCACGTTTACTTTTTTCCTCTGGTTTTTCCGGCTGTGCTAAGCAGACAGACAAAAAACTCACGTCGCACGTTGCACAAAAAAAAAAAAGGGCTATGTCTTTAGCCAGTAGGGGGCGACTTGGTTAAGACATCTTGGAGCCACTGCTTAATCTCTTGGTCACATACCTTTTTCCAGGCCTCTGACCCCCCCTCTTCCATCGCCGATGCTTGCACGGGGTTTAAAAAAAAATCCGCACTTGTGTTAGAGCCGACAGAGGCACTTCTGCCAAAGGTTTTGCAATCATGCAGTTAAATGGGTGTACGTGAAAAGTCTCTCGGCCCAATGGCAGCTGTTTATATGGCAAAGGCATCCGCCGTAAGCCATTTTGCTCATCGCCTCCCGAGCCTCAGAGGAGGACCAGCCCAGGTCACTCTGGACAGCCTCATTTGCAACTGCTCCATGGCAACCCAGAGCCTGACGCCCGACCTCTCTGCCGACGCACCATATGGGCGCATATCTCTGGTGGGACACACACCACCGCATTGGCAAATGTCAGTCCTGCTACTACTACCGCCTTACGCAGGTCTCTAGACACAATAATCCTGTTACAACACCACAAGTTACATTTTCGGAGGATGTTGGCTCCTCGGATGGATGCTTGGCAGAGGCGTGTGTGATGCATTTTTAAATAGTCTTCCGCGTTCGACAGCGTGATGCCCAAGTACTTGTACGAGTGAAATACAAGGACACTGTTCCCTCCGAGTCAAAGGGTGCCAAGTGTCGTGTCGTGTGGTCCCACAAATACCACAGCTGCTGACTTGCTGGTGTTCAATTTCAAACCAAGCTCTGTAGCCTCCTTGATGCATATGTCAAGCAGCTGTTGTATATCGCACACTGATACCGCAGTCATCAGTGCAAGTCAGTTCTGGAAGCACCCATTTGACGCCATCTCCATGCTCTATGTAAGCTAGCGAGAAGCCAAGTTGGCTAAGTCCCAGTAGGACGAGTTACTTCTTTAGGATGGCAATGTACAACCCTGTTAACATGGCGCATCCAAGCGGTTGCCACAAGTGGTGCGCCGACGGCTCCTCAAAAGCATTTTGCTAGGCACCGAAACATTCTACCACCGCGCCAATTGGAGGCATTTTTTCTTCCTTCTTTATTGCATTCTTTATTGCGTGGGAAGCGGAACACTTTTAGTCACTTTTCAGTGCCTTTGGATGCACGATGAAAGAAGCCACCATGTCTTTAGGTGGGAAAGAATAAAAACCTCACATCTGGAGGAGGCCTTCGGGAATACTTGTCCATTCGGTAACATGTTCAGCAGCTTGCCACACCTTGCACTTATTAGCCAGCAGCACAAACATGTCATAGCTAGGGAACACCATCATCTGAATCTAGTCAGAGGCTATTCTATTTGAGACATGATACTAAGAATTTCCGGATAAACTGACTAGACAAACAGCAAATAAAACGCCATCTTTTTCTTTATTGTTCCTCTATTTTCTTTTACAACAATAGCTGTTATAGGAAATTCCCAGCTGCATTTGCAGTGTCAGTGTTGGGCTTAAAAAAATAAAACGAAAAGAAAAACCAACTTTAGTGATGTAAATATGTGACCACCTTCAACCAGAGTAATTCATCCCGCGGGCAAAAGGTGACGGGCATGCCCGCGCTCCCCGCAGTGCCGAGGCCGAGGGGTAAAGAAGAGAGTTAGTGGGGAATGCATTGCATCTCGAGCACCATCCTTTGCACACGTTAGTTGTGGCAACGCCTCCACCGAGAAACCCCCCAAAGGAGTCATTGCCACTCCAATTGAGGCGAGTACATTCACTGCCCCGCCCCACATACAAGTGTTCTACACTTAAAGGGATGCTGAACCGAAATCTGGATTTCACAAAACACAGCGGCAGAAGCGTGCAACGGGATGCTACGAACACCAGATCATCACTCATACAACGATATCTCAAACGGATGACCGTATTTTTCTAAGAAAAAGAGGCGCATTTGACAGGTATGTTGACGTCTTGTTTCTCCGAGAAGAGTCGAGAAGGAGAGGAAACTGCCTCGCGTCTTCTCCGCCTCAATGCCTTGAGGGGGCGAAGTGAAGAGAAGAGGAGACGAGATATGTTGACGTAACGCGCCTCATCAGCCTCGTTTAATCTTGACCTTTTTTCCAAAACTACGGCCATCCATTCAAGATATCGCCTTGCGAGTGGTGTTGTAGGGATTGTAGCGTCCCGCCTACCGCTTCTGGATTGTTTTCTGAAATCCAAATTTCGGTTCACCATCCCTTTAAGTGAACTGGATGTGTTTTTGATAGTTTTCTTCTGTAAATAAACTATATCCTGTCCTATCCTATCCAGTGTATACATCTCGCCCGGAACATCCCACTCTGACATAAAGATCTTCCTGATTCCAAACCTCCCAGTGGCATGTCTCGAAGATGTGCCACTACTTATCACCGGAGATTAACATACAATGCCACTAGTTCAGATAACGAGTGGCTTCCTAGATTCCTCGCAGTACAACTCCATTTGCATACATTATCAGATGTAAAGTAGCCCACCACTCATAATGGTACCAGTCTCAATTTAGTATTAGGCAGGGACATTGACCTCTATACAGTGCGTTTCACAAGGCTGTATTGTCCAGGATTGAGTAAATAAAGACATGCATAAAAAGATATGTTACTAAGCATTGCAACAGCTATGGCTGTGACCTCTTTGCATGCTCTAAAGAAAAGCTTGTTTCTTTACAAAATAAACATAAGCTTGAGGAGTCGGTCGCCCATGCGCGAGCCTGAAGTAACAAATGCCGCGTCGTCTTTGACCCACTTGTCCAGCCTGGTTCAGAGTACAAAACAAACCAAAGAAAAGCCGACAAAATATTACTATACACTTTGGTCCCAAAAATTGAGCATTCTTACTTTTCGCGAGCAAACGCGATAGACCCTTTCCGAAATTCAGCCTGGCAACTGTGATCGCTATTATCATCTGAGGAATGGCATATGTGCCCTACTAATGGTGGCCTTCCGTGATGAGGTGAAGATGCTCCTGAGCGGATGACGCGAGGACGTTTGTATAATGCGACGCAGGAATTGAATACTAGGTCTGCGTAACCATTCATTTCTTACTCGGGTCCAGTCAATTTGTTAGCTTCAAACAATCGGCACTGAAACCCCCCCAATGTATAGGAGCTAATCGAGGCGTCTATGTGGGCTGGTGCTTGGTTCTGACCAATTGCCAAGTTGTCTACACAAAAAAAAAAAAGAAAAAAAAAATTGCCAAAAATTGAATGGTAAAAAACAGATTCTCATCTGCCGTTGACACGCAAAACTGATGGTGCCCGATAAAATTACCACAAACTACACATTCATTAGTACGGCAAAGTTAAATTGCTACTTGAGCCACTGGACGGCACTGAATTTCGGAAAGGGTTTACTCCGGCCAGGAGGAGACACTGCCTCGTTTATTATCCCCAATAAAACACCGGCTACGATTCAATTTGAAAGAACAGGTACAGTGCGTCATCCTTCACGACACCTGCCGTTTCCATATCCTTTGCCTTTGAGAGAACGCATCCTCCGGAAGTACTGTGCCCTATCACCGGCTTCTCAATCCCACAGCAGGTCTTATTCCGGCAAAAAAGCCTCTTCGCTTTGTCTGCAGGGTTTATGACCCCCATTGCAAAAGCCTTTCTAAAGGGCCATTCGAGCACCGAATCGTCGTCCCCCAGGTGGATTCTGAGGGCCATCCAGCAATGTAGTCCCAGCGATGACTTACGGAAAGAGACATGGTGGGACACCCTGTATCCAAATGCATTCTGAACGGGGCTTTCGACCGACACAGTACCGTCACGCTCTGCTTTTGCTTTCAAGGCTGCCCAGTCCACGACGCGCCAGTAGACCTCCATTCCCCCGTCGGTGGTCGACACTTCTGGGGACGTGCTCCCCGCAATACTCGTCAGCCTTTCGCACTGCATGCGCAACTCAGAGGACATGTGTGCTTTCAGCGCGTTGCCCATGTCAACGGTTGCAGCGGAGCTCTCGGCAGAGAGCGCGCTCAACCCCGCGAGCTGCTCGGAGAGGAACGCCAGTCGAGCTTCCAGCTGGTCCCTGGAGTCTCTCGCAGTAATCCTGATGTCCTCGCGGCACTGGTTCAGGCTGGTGTGAAGGCAGCAGAACTCCTCATAGAGCCTGCCCATTTCCTTGCCAAGTTTCTTGCTTGCGTTTTCCACAACACCGTAAACCGCGACGTTTAGGTCGGTGGCGGGTTGAGGAAGGGTGACGGGTTCAGCTGCGGTGGTTGGTTCGGCGGGTTCAGCGGAGGAGACACCGCTGCAGCCACCTTTGCAATGTCCCACAATACAGCTTCTCAGCACAGACGAATGGCACCTAGGACAAGACACGACGTGGAAGGCACATTGCTGGAAGTGTTCCAGTAGGCTGGCGGCGGGGCCCACGAAGTTGCAGCCACTTGGGGCATTCCAGCAGGCCACCTTGAGGAAAGAAACAACAAGCAAACATCCCAGTTACAGTTCTGTAAAGAAACGACGAAAGGGGCGAGCTATCTTTGCAAAAATCTAACTCAGCAGAGTTAGGGCCCTTGCAGATATAGTTTGTCGATCTCAAAACGGAAGAATGGAACAGGCAACAATATAAGTAGAGCCCTGCATGGATAACAGTTTGATTATCCGCATCCAATCTGCAGACTTTGCATCCACATTCGAACCGCATCCACAAACTTTTTACATTATTGTATCCGTATCCGATTTGCATCCGCATACTTTGTATCTATATCCGAACCACATCCGCAAAATGTGGAACCAGATTCGACTCACAATCTAGGCATTCCTTGTATATCATAACATCAAGCGTAAATGGAAAAATAAAAAATAAAAAAAAAATACAAATAGCACTTTTTAAGCTGTTTGCTTATCTTTGTACAAAGAAATCTTTGGGTCACCATTCAAAGGGGATGTCATTTTATCACTATCAGTTTCATTGTATTTATATAAAAGCGATCAGCCTTCCCGAGACACTGCACGTCGAAGAAAAAATAATCTCAGTTATGTGATCGTCCTAGGAGTCCACGACACTCTGCCCAGAAGAACCGCACAAAAAGGATATTATATATATATATATTTTTTTGCTTTGTAACATTTGTTTTATGCAGATGCATACTTTTAAAACATGAATGTTAAAAAAAGGGCATACTAAATTATGACATTTTAGTTCTGTCAAACAATTAGAAAGTAAGAGAGGCTCATATTCGTCCGGCTACGACGCCCTGGCATCGTAGTTGGACGAATATGAACCACTAGACTTTTTGGCTAGGACTCTAAGCATACAAAAAAGAAACACACAGGTAGTTTACGGGCTGCCTATGTGAGTGCGCTGTTGATTCTGAAACTTTACAAACTGTGGCGCCACAGGGTCGCGCTCGCTGTCGAGGCACTTCTTTTATTTTTGGAATTATGACCACATTACTCTTTGCGGAGAGGGGGACGTTTCTTCTACTTCCTTGTGACTTGTACGTTTGAGGTTTTCTTGCCCGAAGAAAGTTTCCGCTCTTTCCCTGCCAATGTACTAACTTTCTCGGGACGACTGATGCCCTGCAATCTTTACTTTTTCTATAGATAGCCTTTTTGACGAGAGGAAACGCGCTAACTGAAGCGATCTTCAATGAGAATCAGATCTTTCTTAGGATCCCTATCGTTTCTTCGAAACTCGTTTTGTGGAAATAAGTTTCGTGGAAACTTTTCATGGACATACATTTCAAGGACACACGGTTCGTCGACGCTGTATGTTTTGTGGGCACATGCCCCTGTGACGTTTTGTCGACAACGCATTTCTTCACGAAGCCGCAAAAAGCTAGTGCGCGATTCACTAAGGTGAGCTTAACCAAACCATGCTCCCTACCCGCTGTAATCCAGGCGAGACGCAAAAAGTTTGTTACGAAAATAGCAGGGTCGTGTGCGACGAAACGTCTCAGGTTTTTCGATGAAACGAACACGAGAAGCCTTTCGATCAAACGTCGCATGTCGACGAAACAATATGTAGATGAAACGTCAGTCGACGAACTGAATGCCATTGGGCAAAAATTTAGATCCGGATCCGCGAATATCCGCATCCGCAGCCCCCGACATCCGCATCCGATCCGCAATCCGCCAAAATTTGTCTAATTGTTCCGCAGATATCCGTGGAATCATCTCCGGACTCTACGAGACGAAGAGACCCAGGAAAATACATTTCTCTATGCTATATGGGACGAAAAACCAAAGGCATGCTGCTTTCACTGAGGTTGACAAGCGACGAGCATAAAGTGTACTCAATGAAAACGAGGCTCAAAGCCCGTTTCACCCCCAACACGAACGTCATCTTCAGGAGGCCACATTCAACAAGAGAAAACAAGAAGCTCATGACACAAGGGACATTTATAACAAACTTACACAAGATGGCAAACACCTGCAACTATGGTAACCTAAGCGAAGACCTGATCAGGAACTGGCTAGTCATATACCTTCTAGGCAAGTTAAACGAAAAGCTACAGCTCGACACAAGATTCACACTACAAAGGGCAACTGCAGTAACTCGCAACTTTAAAATGGTCAGGTGCCAACAGAACAAACTGTGTGACCACAAGGTGTGACCACAAGGAGGCACACACTGCTGTGCACGAAATTTGAGACGGGTAGAGAGGTTGTCAAAACTCCCCGCCCCGTCGAGGCCAAGCAAGGCAACCAGCCGCATCTGAAACATTGCGGCCCTGCAAAATGGTGCACTGGCATGCTGAGGATCAATGCACGGCAAACTGATAGAAGTGCTACAGATGCAAAAAGATGGGTCAGGTCAGAATTCAAAGATATAACCGTGACATGGATGATGCTTTATTGCGTAAGCCAATGGCCCGCACTCGCTAACTAACGACCAGAAGCCAGGAGGTTTGAAAGCATGGCTTTCAAACCTCCTGGCTTCTCGCCTGCAAAGTGGACGTCAGTGCATCGTTTGATGTAGAGCTAAAGCAAGGGACTATGTTTGGTGGCCATGCATGTGTTAACAAATTCATCACTATGTTAGCATGTGCCTCACCTGCCAAAAGTTCTGAAGACCAGCCACTGCTTGAAACACATGTATTTGAGTGTCCAAAGCAAAGTGCTTAGCGAACTATTTTAATTTGGGATTCCAGAGGACATTTGCTCCGACGGTGGGCCTCAGTTCGGATCAGTGAATTTGGAGGGTTCGCCCATGGATGGGGCCAGTGAATTCGGAAAGTTTGCTTATGAATGGTGAATACGACCTGTTGTGTCAGGTCCCTACTAGCCCCAAGGCAATGGCGAAGCAGAGCGAGCAGTTTTGTTGCACAAGCTCTTCTGGCTAACAAGTCTACGCCAAGAAGGAGGGTTATTTGCCTGCGGAGCTTCTGATGTGACAATGACTAAGGCCTACAATTCCCTCATCGTAACTCAAGTGAGATTACAAAGTTCGTTACCGGCAACAAAATACCACAGTAAAGACGAAAGAGGTAAGCCACCAAAAACAAGCGTCACAAGACATAGAGCCGGACTGATACCCAGATCAGCAGTCTGGACGTGTGCGGGTACCGCAAACAAGGTTGTGGTGTCACAGAAGATCAATGAACTATAATCCTATGCGATAGAAACAGAACAGGGTGTGCTACATCGCACGAGCGTACACTCACCAAGTGCACCACAAAACATCAAGCTCAGCGTGCTAATAGACGAGGAACCACTAGCATTCTCTTCAAGCAATGGCACCTATGTTATGGAAGTCGAGGGGTTTCTAATCCTCCAACTCATTACAGAAAGTGATTCTTAAAAGGGAAAGTGTTGCATCCAGTGTCTAGAACATAAGACGATGAAGTAGATTACCACGAGGACGCGAGCAGTGGGCAGAGACACCATGATAGAAAGCACTTGTTCCTTTCTAGGCTCGTCTCGGATTGTTAGTAAAGTACTACTATGCTCAAGGTACTATTGGGTTCGAATGAAATGTGAGCAGCGGAGCGCACGGCCGTCGACATGCGCTGCGCCTCCTGGAGACCTCTAGAAACTGATAAAACTGCGAGGTGGAGGGTAGGGCGCTACGAGGGTGTGCGTCCTACTCCGATGTGTTGGAACCTCCTCCAGCACAACCCAAGCTTTGAAGTTGCGCCGGTGGTGCGCTGGAGGTTCTGTCACAGCCACTTTCATTGGCTCAGCACGAGCCACACGAGAAAGCTTGCCACTCAAAACAAGAGCAGGCTGTTAGCACACAAGCCAGACGCGCGCGTCCGTGGAGCATGACTGCAGCGTCATGCTTTCTCCTAACTTGCACAGGCCCTTCTTATTTCTTTTCAAAATACGCATTGCGTTTGAGGTGTTAGTCTCTGGTGGTTGCAGCTTTCGTGTTCCTTTTTTGTTCATTATTTCTTTTTGAACAGATCCTCCATGGCAGTAAACATGTCATTTCTTGTCCCCGCTGTTTAACGATTTTGCAGGAGCGATGCACTTTTGGTCCTTCACGAGGACACTTGCCCGTTTCTGATAACTGACATAAAGCTCCACAGGTCTTCAGTGCACGAACAAACTGCTTTAACTTCTTTTTCATACTTCTGACACATGGGATGATCATTTAATGGGCGCGCTAAATGAAAACCTGGCTGCTTGCAATATGTGGCTGGTCAATGATAAAGTTACAGCATTTCGTTAAAAGGTTTGGTGAAAGCGAGAGCTGGTGGACCCGCATTTCGGCAATCCCAGCGCCACACGCGAAACACAAGAACTAGAGGGGATGCGGGGCAAGCGCTGGGAGATGATATGCAAAAGTTTGCAAAGTTATTGACTTCACTTGGGCATCAGCAACCGTCATGGGTGCCCTCTTGTTCTACTGTTCATGCACAAAAATAACCAAGAAATCCACAAAGCAAGAAAAAGAAGAAGCTGTGCAAGTTCGGGGGAACATGTTGCTGCGACCATGCTCCACGGATGCGCACGCGAGGAGTGCGCGCAAGCAGTCTGCTCCTGTTGCGGGGGGTGGGCTTCCTCGCGTGGCTCGTGCTGAGCCAACGAAAGTGGCTGATGGAACTTCCGGCTAACCACCGGCGCAGCGTCGAAGCTTGGGTTTTGCTGGGCGAGGGTGAAACATATCGGAGTGATACACATACCCTCGCAGCACCCCACTCTCCTCCCCACAGTTTTATCAGTTTCCAGAAACCTCCAGGAGGCACGGCATGAGTCAACGGCCACACGCTCCGCTGTTCGGATTTCATTTGAACCCGGTAGTATGTGATATAACTCTAAAGGCAAAGGTCCCCCGCATTTCAGCCGCTTCGGAATTGCGAGGTTATAGGCATGGACATCGGTGGTTTTGATGGGACCATATTGCTGGTGACATTTTATCATACACAAAGTGGCAGAAAAACATCACTTCCATGGTCTGTATCTGCCGTTTTTCTAGATTTATTTCGCACAAAAACACAGGAGTCACGCATTCAAAAAATTAATAAAGTAGACATGCACTCGCGCAACTTCAACTCGTGGTGGTAAAACGAACATGGCTAACCTATCGTCTTTCTTTCTTCGCTTTTCTGTCGCTCTCTTTCTCACTCTTTCTCTCGGCCATCAATGTCGGCGCCTATGATTTGCCACGCTCTGCTCCTGCGTTTACCCCCCCCCCCCCCAACTACAAAACAAACAGAAGTGTTCACACCTTGAGTTCTCCGGTGTAGCCATCCTGAACGTCGAACCGGAGGACGGCATTACCACCGAAGGACGTGTCGTCCAGGGGACAGGTGCTCCCTCCCCGAGCGCTTTCTTCGTGGCACTCGGAGCAGAGTGTGTGCGCACAGGGCAGCCTGTAGGATCTCCGGGACAGTACCCCGCACAGCGAGCAAGCCATCTGTGCGACGGCCGGCTCTCGGAACAGGAGGGGTCTCCAGTCCAGAGCGGGAGAGAAGCCGGACATGCGGGCAGACATCATCGGGGGCTCCGGTCGGGCCGCAGGCCCGTCTCCTGCAGAAGGGACGGCAAGCTGTAAGACAGAGGGATGTCCATTTCTTCGAGGGGTAGTGCAACGATATTGGCTAAAAACGTCTCTCACTTTGCACAAGCTTACTGGCGCTAGTGAGACCCATGTATACTCGCACGCAACGCCACTGACCAAAAAGCTTCTTCGTAGCCGTACAATTTCGGGGGTAAAAGCGGGCTTTTTCTTTTGGTCTCTTCTTCGCAAAACTTGGTGATGAAGATGTGAGAACCCTATTGTTGGCGTCGTAAACAGTGCAATCCCCCGTTTTCGTCATCAAGCTTCGCAATCCCCGCGGTGACAACATTTAAATGCAGCTCATCCAGTGGAAACGAGCACTTCGTGGGCATTTGACTTGGGCTCGTGACAATTGATGCCTTAATATGCATGTGGGTATTGGCTTGTGTCCAATCACTGCAATAACGTAACCTCAACAATAGAGGGTTTTAGAATAGAAGGCCCAGATGCTTTGGGTCCCAAGAGCACTTGGGACGTCGCACTGCGCAAGTGCACAGAAGTTCTGCGAATGCTCAGTGCCAAACCCCAAGCTGCTTGGGGAACCTAAGGTCACTGAACCCTGGAAAAGTAGTGCCATTGCTTCCCCTACCTGCTAGCTGGACACAAACAGATACTAACATACAAACAACCAAAACCTCGCGAGGCAATTGGCTAATATGTATACGTTGCCATGGAAATTGCCATTTCCGTCTATTTAAATCTTCAAAGCTTCCAGAGGGTTGTTCTAAACCAGTTGTGCCATGGAGCACCATCGTATTGAAAGTGTTCCGCGCCAATATAAGCGTCTTTGGCACTGAGTATGCAATCAACTTATCAATCATGTCCATCTCCACGCATCTTTTACAATTATATTGTTCTTCTTGCATATTTCAAAACAGTCAAATTATTTTTCAGTGCCTCCAAGCACCGACACAGCATGTGGTGGTGATACGAAGATGTACACTTACTTTGCCGGTGTCTGGATAGCGAAATCCCGGTATACAAGAATCGTCTCCATAGAGCTACCTGCCACCAGCGAATTTAGATTGGCTCACCAAGAACAGCGGGGTCAAAAAGTTGCTCATTTCACGGACCAAAATGGCGACCATGCCACTTTCCCAGAATTTAGTGACTTTAGAAGAACCTAGAGAGCTGGGGCCCCTTATTCCAAAACTCCCTAATGTGTGCAAACTCAGCACATGCCATGTGCTTTGCAAACCCTAGTGCGTGGCTATGATAAACAATTGCTTCATATAATCGGCTTCAGACCATAAGGCCATTTGTTCTGGCTGCAAGTTGAAAAGGTGAACACTCCTCGTTTTCCTCGAATTTCTGCAAATGCCATCGTGTGGAGAAAACAAAACTAATGTACGTTTTGTAGATTTTGCGTGTCAGGGAATATTTGTAAGCGGTATTTACTGAAAGTACAAAGTATGTATGCATTGCTGCATAAAAGAAATAAATAAACAAGAAAGTGAATTTTTAACAGTAGGATGATAAACAGCATGCTTGGAAAAACCCACCACATCCTTCTCATTCTGGATCTCGTCCAAGGACGTTTAAACAGACAGGACCCGGCATGACGTCAGCCTGAGTGAAACCGGAAGAGGCGTTTAATCCCAGACTGCCTTGCGCACCCGTTCCGAGGCCGTGGGGTAGCGCACCGGCGGTTCGTCTGCTTTCTAATCTGCTCCGGCGTGTGCTTCATGAGGCTAGCTTTTGATGCGGTCGGCATCCGCCGTGGGCGTCCACGATGCAAATGCTTTGCAGCGTGAGTGTTTATACTTAGTTCCACATTATGTGCGAGCGAAGTCAGAACTAGAAGCGCGAGCCCGTTGTTCTGTGCGCTCCTGGCTTGCATGCGCACTCGTGCGATCTGCTGCTGCTGTTTATTAAAAAATGCGTTGCGCACCGCCAAGTCCTTCACGGTGCGTCGTCTAGAGCGTCTCAATTCTAGTCACTTACTTCCTGCTGGGCAACCAGGCGTTTGTTTATAATAATCTCATCCAATTCCGACCATACCGGTTTAAAAGTCTCCCGTTAAGCGTTGTTTCAAATAACAGAGGGTGCCGCCATTACTTTCGGTGCACACAGTCGTGTTGCCACGGAAATGTCATGGCAACGCGGTTGTTTGTACCGAAATTAATGGCGGCGCCCACTCACTAGGCTTCCCATTGGTCAAGAAATGCTCGTTGCGGCTCGTGGCCACGCCTACTTCCGTTTCACTTCGCTCCATGCATTGGGGATAGGGACGCCACCTCCTGCCCATTATAACCTCCTTGATCTCGTCTTATCCAGAAAGGGGAGGCTACAAGCGGTACATAGGCTATGCAAATAAATAAGTCTGATGCAATGCTGACAGTCACTTTTTTTTTTTTTATTGCATATACAAGTAAGTAAAAGGCATCACCTTTTACTTACTCTGTCTGTAGTTCGTGCTATTTAGGTGTAATTATGAATATTGTTGCATGCATCTCTATGTATTTCTTTGTGCAGTGAGGCATTGTGTATAAGATTATTTCGAGAATACCATTTATTATCCCTCTCTCCGCACATTTTGTGTATTTGTTTTAGACTTATGTGAACACACAGTTCTTTTTGGCATACCCCGCTAACACTGTTTCACACTGCCTATCAGAAAAAAAAGAAACAAAATACATCATGTTTCTGCAGATTTAACAGCTGGCATTTTTGACCGTCGTCCTCCCGTGTCGGTCTCAAGCGGTTATGTGAATTTCATACAGTCAAATTTGTTGGTGGCAATACAAATATATTTAATTACTGACTGAAGTTGTTGTTGATTAAGGACTTTATGGCAATTACTAACTGAAGATTTGACAACATAAATTAAGGGCCAATCACCTTAAAGATATATATCAGTAAATGCACCCCCTAATTATCTAAATATGAGCTGAAAATCTTTTCCCGCATTTTTATCCTCAATAGGCACGTCTAAATTGATTAGTAAACAAATTTCCGATTTTGAAGCTGCTTTAAATAACTATGCTTCTGACACACATTTAACTTCTCAAACATATAGAAGTTTGTCATGACCTCTTTTATGTGATGAAAAACAATTTTAGGTGTCTAGGGGCAAGAAAAGAATAAAGTACACAGTGGCCCGTAACGGAACTATGACGATTGCGCACGCAGACCGCCAGAAAGTGACCAATTAAAGGGCAACTCCGCTCAATTCCGAAAAATTTAAGCTTCCATGTGATTCACATTCACAAAGCACTACTAAACAACTCTACGTCTTCGGATTCGCGAAATGTGGAATATTATTTGTGTAATCCTAATTTAAACATCAGCAGATACCGAAACCGAAACTTCGGTTGCGTCAGGCAACATTGGTCTCGGGTCGTCAGAGTCATGGCCACGTCACGTCGAACCACGTGGTCTTGTGACGTTCGGGAGGGAGCGAGAAACAGAACACACGACGCAAGCAGGTCGTTTTTTTTTTTTTTTTTTTTATTGGACGCGGGCAGTTTGCTTTGCATGGTGTGGACGGTGATGGAAGGGGAGAAGACAAAAGAGGAGAAGGGGAGCGGAGAAACAGACCGATAAGCGCGCAGGGCAGCGCAAACTAGCGCATCCGTGTTACGGAGATCACGTGAACGCCCGGTCAGCCAACACCAGGAGGAGAAACTCATGACGTCATCGTTCAATTTCGCTCTGAGAAGTAGAAACAAGCAAAACGTGAGAATGACGTAGTCATGCCTCTGACGTAGTCATGCCTCTGACGTAGTGGTTCAACGTTGGCCGTTCCAACTCTGTGGCATTGACTGCGCTGATGATTGCGCCTCGCGCCGCACGCTAGAGTTGGCAGATTTTGGCGACTTGGCTCACTTAAAGGTTTGCTCTCCAGTTTATTAAATATATAAACGGAATTAGATCGTAATATTTGACATGGGGTCTTCCTATATGATACTGAAGAGGGCTACATAGTTTTCTAAATATCAAAAATGAAGCGGAGTTGCCCTTTAAGCAGCTGCAATGTCGAATAGAATATGAAATACTATTTTGTTCTAATTAACAAAAAAAACTACCAATTAGCAAGGGTGATGCTTATTTTCAAATTGAATTCACCAACATTTTGTCAAGAACAAACCTCAAACACCAAGCTATACCAAAAATGTTCACTTGGGTATGTGCTATTTTAGGCCAGGTTCAATCTGAGTATGAAGGTTTGTATTCGTGTCTCCAGCTCGTTGCTCGCCCACCTGCGACAGAAATGGAAAATGCTCTAGTGAGGATCCCCTGAGTCTCCTGCTCAGCGGGCACGACGGAACTGCTCGCGATCATGGCTCGCGAAATGTCATTTTCGAATGCAAAAGCACACTTCACAGTCCCAACTTAGTGCTGCAGTCGGTATGAGATTGTAGATCATTAGAGAGCTTAGTATTGTGTACAGAAGCTAACGCAATCGCTCTGCTTTTGCATTAGAGTTGCGTGCTCCACGTTGCACATGCGTGTCATCTCCATGAGCCGGTCTAAGACCGCAATTTTGGGCTCCGCACACGTGCAGTGTGGAAAACGCAAAGCTAACGCAAACACACAGCGCTGGCGTTTGCTCGTATATGCAATCCAACGCCAACGAAACATACTGCAGTAAGCAGATGTGCAAGCAGGTAGGCATTCCTTCAAACTGGAAAGGTTGAGATTGGCAAAACGACGGCGTGTAAGAATGAAAGTAAACTAAATGTTATTAAAAGATTAGTAATAAAAAAAAAAAAAAAACCTTTTTTTGGGAGGAAAGGGGCGGGGGGCATTTGGTCTGAAAGGATATTGGCGGCGACTTAGGAAGTTTTGCAGATTGTCAAAAGTCGCGACTTTGATGGCCCCATATGCTTTACCCAGAATCAATGTCATTTTTTATGGATTTCTTACATTAGCTAGAATGTTTTCATTGATTTTCGGCTATTTTTATTTTATAACTTGGTAATTAAAAATGCTGGTGATAATTTTCACACTTTTGATTATCATACTTGTTTGCACGGTTGAAATTAGGTCATAAGTAACAAATTGTAGAGCTGTCTGACTCAGATTCAGTCTGACTTTTTTTTTTTTTTAGTGAGAACAGTGTTTCCTAATCTACACATGTTGTGAACATATTGTAAAAATTGGATTTATTATGTCATTCTTGTGCTGGGAATAATGTTAAAGCAATTAATCATCTAAATACACAAAAACCCATTAAAAGGCCCGCAGTTCATCACTTCACATGACAGTTATCTGAGCTAGAAAAAACACAAAATGCATAAATATCAGCTCCGACACTAAAATCTCCAAAATATTCTGAAGTGCCTGGATCGAATATGTATGTCACAAAACAAAGCTTTTGCGAACAACTTCTTTATTTAACTAAATAATTACGATGTGAGACACATCTTGGTTTTCGAAAGTATCCGAAATTAAGACCTATACCAAGAAATAAATCCAAAATAGAGGTTACTTTCGGTTTCGGTCAACAATTAAAACGTGCCTCCTGGCGTAAATATTACGCTAAACACCGTTTTCGTTCGCAGGATAAAGAGGTGACCAATGCTCATAAAAGCCTAGCTTTCTCATATTACTAGAAATAATTTATGTCGCTCAGTGAAGCCAGCACACTAGTCAGGCTTGGCGGCAACACGCCTCTCCAACCCTCACTATACCTGCCATTTTGGAAAACGAGTGGCGCCACCTATAGTGAATTGGAGAGTGAACAATCTTGATCCCTCTTTTCTGCATGATTATTCGTCTGCATCACGGTGCTGAGTGCCAACATTGTTGGCCAGGATAACAAGCGTTGTGATTAGGGATGTCACAAACCTGCCCAGGTTCGAGTTCGGCCAAGTTCGACTTTTTCCAACTTTCAACGTGATGTTCCACAAAGGTTCGACTGAAGTTTGACTTATGCGCACATGCATGAAAATTAAAAAACCAGCTGACTCCACCTGGCAGAGGAAAAGTGCACTATTTGTTGTGTGTATTGGCATCAGTGGTTCACATTACTAACGAAAACATTAAAAGCACATATGTTTGCTTTTATATGGTGCAATTTGTAAACATTGGTAACCATTTTACAAAATATAAAATAAACTACTGTCTAGATTATTTGTTTCCCGAAATGACATAGGTAAATATATGTGTGGAAGCCAGGCAACACTGACCATAAGTCGAATTTTTTCAAACTTTAGTGAAAGTTTGAAGGTTCGGTGAACCAGTCGAACCTTGGGGTTCAACGTCGAAATTGAGGTTCAACAAAAGTATGCGACACCTCTAGTTGTGATTGCCGCTTGGTGTTTTTATAAAAGGTAGAGTGCAAGGGCTTGTCCTCGAACTTTAGTGACATTTTGAAAGTACTCCTTTTAGCTTCCCAATTGCATCGCCATTATATATATTGCAAAACATATATCGTAAACTTGATTTCACAATATATATGGTGAAAAGGTGCCGTTTTCATGATTTTATGCACTGTAATTAATTCCTAAATTTGAGAGCACAACTAGGGTTCAATGTTTAATACTGCGACGCAAAGTCGTACCAATCACGGGGTATCCTAGGCGACCTACTAGACTGATAACCTTTCGATTCAGGTAAAATATATGTGACTGAGGCAAACAAATAGACGTTGAGTCATATAAACATGACATTTTGTATGTTAATCTAGCTTCTCTCTTAAGCCGAGGCCACGCTGCTCATACGTCACAGTGTTGCCAGATTGGGCTATATATAACCAAATTGGGCTACATTTTTTTCTAGTTGGCGTTAAATTTTTGTAGTAGGCTATGTGGCTATTTTGGGGTATTTCTAAGAATGCGGCAAACTTCTGTCGAACCTAGAGTTCGACGCCGAACTTTGAGGTTCGGCTAGTTAATTTTTAAAAATCTTTGATCAGTTTCGAAAAAAAAAAAAATTGTTTCTCTTTTGGCTAGTCGAGAGGAGAAAGAGGGAGGAGAAAGACTTCAAACTTCTATAAACCTTGGGGTTTTCACAATGCGCAGTGAAGCAATGCTTGCAGAGTTCATGCGGTCTCCCTACAGTGCGGTGGAGCAAACCAAACAGATGGACTATTACCACAAGCCCGGTAGCGTGCCTTCAACCCGGACGCATATGGCTCTGCCCGGACGTAGACTGAACTCTCCAAATGCTGCTTTGGTGCCCATTGTGAGAATCCTTAGGCACCCAAGTTTATAACAATGAGAAGTCCGCATTTTTGCCGCAAGACAATTGACTACCTTCCACTCGTTGTCCACCCCAAGAAAGGACAACACAATAAAAAATAGCGTGAACATGAATGGGTGACACTAATCTTCACAAAGAAAAAGAGATGGGTGGAATATCGGTAAGGACCTGAGGTATTGGGGTTCTGGTTTGAAATACCCAGTGTTCCGACTGTTCTGCTTCTGTATTTTGTTCTTTTACTGTATGATCATATCTCCTGGGCTTCACAATAAAGCTGTCTGTGTGTTTTGTACTTCTGAAAAACTACGAAGGAAGGTCCAGTTTTGTATGGATTTTCATTCTTTCGAAGCTTTTCTTGAAAACTTTACAAGTAACATAATGTACACAAAAGGCGATGCATCTGAGGGTTGAAATAGAGATTGTAACATGTATTGTATGAGTGTGAGAAATTGTCAATATAAGGCTTAAAGGGATACTACAACAAAATTTTGGCACTTATTTTATGGTCTATATGTGTTCAAAGGAGCAGTATCACATGGAACATACCAATATCTTGCTAAAAAAGTCTCGAAAAGGAATTTAAAAATGAATTAAACCAGTGGTCGGCAACCAGCGGCCCGCGAGCCGGATCCGGCCCGCGAGGTAATATCATACGGCCCTCAGCCTCCCGGTAACCCCCACTCGCCCCCTACGCAGTCAGCTAAAGAAAAAAAAATAAAGTTGACTAATTCGCTGCCCGTCTGCGAGCAGACTTTTTCATGAATGAAGTGCACAAAATCCAACTTCCGCTCACGAATGACTGACGAGAACCTCCACAATGTTTTACGACTCGCAGTTAGCAGCTTGAATGTGGATGTTTGTAGTTTGGCGAGCGCAGTTCGACACCACAAGTCTCACTGAGAAGAGTCTCTAGGTTTTCGTGGAAATGTCGTATCTCATGTTGTTTGTCGTGAAATAAAGAAACTGTTCATTTTTGATTTATGTACGTAAGTTCGTGCAAGTGCTTTTATTTAATTTTAACTTCCCCCCCCACGCTGCTTGCCGTCCGGCCCGTTCCACCTTGGCTTCGCGGCAACTCGGCCCGCTTCGCCAAAAGGTTGCCGACCACTGAATTAAACGATTAGCAAAGAGCACCTGGAGGATGTCGCTCACGCCTCGTTTGTAATGCCCGTCTAGGAACCTTGACAGCTAGTGAGGGTGAGTGTCTCGCCAACGGTCATGACGAGAGAAGAGGGGAAGGAAGAACTCCCCTCTCCCCGAGAATATCTTTTGTGTCCCAGAAGTCGCTATTGTCCCTGTACAAGATTACAGAAGATTAACCCGTCACTCAAAATTCGTACAAAAGCAGCCGCTTCGGTGGCTGGAACGACTAGGCCATCCCCTCGACATCAGCCTCGCCGTAGCTTTGCTCGTCCTGAGACGACCCAAGTCACGATTGCGTTGGAGGTCACGTGGTCTCCGCTGGGCCTTCTCCGAGCGCTTGCGAGAGTGGGCCGTTTATAACAGAAGATACAGCCTCCAGGCTCAAAATACCAACGTGTGACTGTCATTTACGGATATTGTGGATCATATTCAACCTATTTTTGAACACGACGGATATATTTCAAATTTCATTTAAGTATCCTTTTAAAAATCATTGTTTTTAGTCTTGGCTATTTTGGGCTATATTTGGGCTATACCTCCCAGTCGTTTGGCGGTTTTTTGGTGGGACCATCTGGCAACACTGATATGTCAGCCCGAAGACCAAGGAGGTTAGAAGTACTAGGAGGGGGCACGTTGCAATATTGGTGAAGCCTAGTCATAAAAAGTTTAAACGATTTTTGTGCCCAGCGTGACCGCAGATCTCTCTGGCGATTAGTGCATGTGACATGTCACATGTGAGATGGATGGTTGATTGTAGAAGGACTTTTTGCAGGCTTGCACGCACTCCGTCCGGTAGGTTTTATCAGATTGAAGGCTAGACTGCGGTGTGTTCTAGTACCCCATAGCAAGGCGAAGGCTAGCTACGGTCACGTGATGTGGTCACGTTGGCATGGTAAGTGAGGAGAGTAAGGAGAAAAATGAGAAAGAGGTGAGGCGTCGAGGGAGTATGGCTTGTGGAGGCTACGCGGCCGACGTCATGCCCTCTCCTACCCTTCTATCCTCCTTGCTGAAGACACATAGAGCGAAGACACGAGTCACCGCGATATCCGTGGTTCGAATGGCACTTGCAAAGTTTCTACTTGCACTTATTGTCATGTGGCATTCGAAGCACGGATCTCGCGGTGACTCTCATTCAAATTACATAACCATTTTTTTTTAAAGTTTTGGTAGTTTAAAATAAAAGTGGATTGTACGAATGATTAAAAGCTATAAAGCTTCTCGTTTCACGGTTGAAAGAGTGCCTATTGCCAAAACAACGCGGGGAATATATTCTTAATTTAGCGGTTCAAACCGGTTCGAACAGTTATTTTTGCTTCCTGGAACTGAACCGGAACTGAACCCAAAGCGGTGAGCCCGAACCCGAACCGAACCGGTAAAATTTCGGTTCGACACTCTGTTATGAAACAACCCGAGGAATACGAAAGGTGACAGACACCAAGAGAACTGAAGGAAGACTGAGACACCTGACTCCCGTGTCAGATGGAAATAGCAGCGAGTTCACTCACCAAAAAGTCGCAAACGGTGGGGCGGATAGATGAAGCCCAGTGGCACCGAAGAAACGAACTCAAACGCCACGACAAGTTCACCACACCGCGGACGCGCGCGAGTTTCAGTGGATCGCTCTTGGAACGAGCGGTTCCGAAATTCGGACGACAGTGTTTTGCCCAATCGTTACTTGCTGACGATACAACACGCAACCAACCTCCAAGGCTTGCCTCAATGCTGCTTTCGAATGTAGGCAAGTATTGCCCGTGGTATTGCCAGTATTTCCCCAGCAACGGCAACGCACGAACGGCCAACGAGGCGAGCGGGCTCCGCCATGTTGGATTTTATGTGGCTTCGTCTTCAACTAATTCGGCAGCTTTTCGACTGTGTCGCAATTTATAATTGAAACGTTTGTGCTGAATTTTGTAAGATAACCTTCTCCTCTCTTTTAACTTCTAGAAGTTACCAATATAGTAATGAGCCTATAACTAATTTCAGTAAAGCATATCCCCGACGCTCTTGATCACGGATCAGGGATCAGGTTTAATCAAGTTTTGGCGCCACTGGTGCCACCATGCTGCCAATGCTGCCGCCAAAAAAAAAAAAAAAAAAAAAAAAAATGGTTCCTTTATCGCTTTTTGAATGTTGATCATCTCGATCATCTTGATCAACCTTGATTACCTCCATCAGTGGGATTAGTGCTTTGGTGGGCACCCGTGGTCCGTGGTTGTGGTCGTGCGGTAGTTCAGCTGGATAGCTTACGGTGATTCAGCCGTTTAGCGTTCAGCTGCGATCTTCGGATCTGGTGCTTGTTGTGCGGTCAAAGCTAAAGTGTTCGAGACGCTGCCACGCTGCTGTCTCTCGGCGGCGACCGAACGGTTTCATTTCTGGAAGACCTCGGAGAATGGCCCGGAGGAGGTCCTCGTCCAGCGCTTCTGGTATGGGAGCTGCCGTCCCCTGGCCTCTTTGTGGCAGCCCTTGTCTTTTCTGCTTTAAATTGTTTTCTAGGGATGTAACGGGTGTGACGATAATTAGCAGTCCTTCGCGCTGCAATCGCAAGTTCGGTCGCGTTGCCGCGGCCTATCCGGCTTCCTTCAAACGGCACGTAAAGTTGATAGTGAATTAGGGCTCCTTTTGCGGTCTGTGTTGTTGCGGGCAAAAAATAGAAAAACAACGAAAACGTGTTTAGCGGCGTACTTGGGTATTTATTTATTCTCTTCCGTTTCAAAACTGAAGGGAGACCCCCTCAGCGCATCCCTGATATGAGCTCCGAGTTCCTAGACATACATTGAAACAATGAAACTTGTTCGGGACACGAACAGGCAAAAATTAAAAAAAAAAAAAAAGTAAAGTGCACGCGGCTAGTAGGAACCATAGGCAGAAAAATTATCACTTAAATGGAAAGTATTTTTTAGCAACCAGAACTACTGCTGCTTGTTACTCGCTACAACACAAAATAATGGGCCTAGTGGACATCAGTGAAAACCAAAGGACAGAAACATTTCGATTCTTGTCTGCACGGTTCTGTTTAGAGCCTAGAGCCACTAAGAAAGCGCCTCTCAAATGTTACTAGATTAGCTCAGTTACGGAACTGCCCATAGACACTGCTTGCGCAAGCAGTACCCCCCTCTCCCCCGCGACTTGCCTCCCGTTGGATGAGTCAACGTTTTGGGAGTACGGCTGCTGTGTAACTGCAGCGCATTTGATGGAATACATATCTTTCGAAGTGCAGCATCTAGATGGCATTTCACCGTAATCTATGGGTCACACAGTTTGCTTGGAATTGAGAATCGAGATAATGCTCCAAACGACAGAAGGCAGACTGAGGGGAGTAAGGGAGGGTACCCCCCTCCGCAGGAGTCCCTCAACTAAGGTAACGTTGGCTACTCTTCGAAGTGCAGACACTTCGGCCATCGGATGGGTGGATGGTTGGCTGTACCCTTTCTAACGGGCGGTAGCTTGCGCCACCTAGCCAAGAAACCACAAGTATGATTTTTCCCCTCGTCGCCCTAAGCCAGTTTGCATCCCCTCTGCATTTTGTAACTATCCCCAGGCATTGTGGGAAGTCACCAGGCTGACCTTTGGGGGACTGGGCAAAAATATCCACTAAAAACTTCACCCCCCCCCCCCCCGCCGTCTCCTCCCTGCAAGGGAGGAGCCAAATTTCCTTTTGTCAAACTTGGTCGGCGTTACCCTAACATAAAGGCAACTGGGAAAGAGAGTTGAGATTTTGGGTAGGAGCAGTCGCCATCTTGGTGAATTAAAGGAATTGAAATCGTAGAAAGTGCTTTCCGTCCTTCAGAAATGTCAAAAATGGTCCACGACGGAAGAATATTGCTGGAGCTTCCTGACACTGTAATGGCGGCAGCTGCGGGATAATTAGGAAATTGGGGTGGCGACACTTTACGCATTGGTTAATTAGTGGCCCTGGTTGTGCCCATTGTTGTTTAGCTTTTGCCATTCTCTTTACGATGTGCTATCCTCGGGGAATATATGCACCTATTGGTGACTAGATGTTTCGGTGGCATCACCTTGTGGACGCTGTTCTTTGACGTGGTCGGTGGCATTCGAGCGGATGACTTGCTAAGTAATTGTGCGGAGCGGTTATGTTAGCTTGCACCTATAAATATAAATAATTGTTGAATCGCACACAAAAAAAGAAAAGTAAAATGGTATTTGTGACAAGGTTTTTTTTTTCCTTCTTTTTTCGCTAAACATAGCAATTTGAGCTTCACTGGTTCTTGCGTGTGAACGCCTCCTCTCGCCTTCTCTCTAGTGTGTGCTTTGCTAAAATGGAAAGAGTGGAGGGCTTTGTGGGAGACCCTTGTCCTCCTTTTCTTTATCTCCGACGGACTACAGCGATGCCGACGACGGCATTAGTCTGCTTTGAGTCGTCGGTTGCAGTCACCTGCGCTTGATCTAGGTGCGTCTTCCAACTGGCACGTTTAGCGTCCTCTCCCGCCCACACATCCGAAGCGGTCCCAAAGGGGCTACAAAAGACGTCGCAGAAGCCGCCATGTCACGTCGGGTGTTGCGATGCTGGCATCTGGTGCTTGTGGTTCCGGCAAAAAGTAAGAGTGAATGCGAGCTTCACTCTTACTTTTTGCCAAAGCTTCCAGGGACCAATCGGCCACCGCTGCTGTAGCACTGCCAGGACTTTGGCCGGCGACAGCGTGACACTTCCCCGATGTCCGGGGCAGAAACCGGGGGACAACCTTTTGGGACGCAGCAAACTCTCGATTCTCTTTCTCACCTTGAGAACTCTAGTAAAAAAAGTTTCGCCCCTCACGGAGCCTTGCCTATTTCCTCCTTTATGCGGAGAAGTAAGACTTATCTAGGTGCATTTTAGATTAGATATGCATTACCTTGTCTGGCCATACACTTTTCAAACGCCAAAGGGGCCGCTTCCTCCTCCGACATTCAAATTTTGTTAGAACTACGCCAAGCTGCATACGAACAATGCACGAGACTTCTCTTTTTTCTCGAGGCAAAGATGAGTACGCCGTAAAATACTGGGCAAGCGGCCATTCGAAATTTGGAGGTAAGCGCGATAAAATGGGGGCTTAATTGTCTCGTCATCAATTTTATGTATAAATGTACAGCGTGCATTTTCTCGTATCTTACAAATTTGGGAATGGGCGCTTAGTGTGGAATGCGCGGTATTCTGCGGTAGTCGGAGATGCATTCCGAAACGACGCCTGTAACGCGTCTCCTACTGCCGCGTTTACTGTGTCCAAAAAGGTGGTCCCTTGGTTTCTGCCTGGTGGTGTCAGAAGTGTCAAGCCGTTGTCAGCCGCGAACCTGGCGGCGTCGCAGCGGCGGCGGTAGATGTGGCAGGTGCCCTATTCGCCTCGGGTAGCTCTTCTGCTTGACGGACGCGAGCATTGCCGGGTCAATGGCGACACTCGCGTCTGCTCATGCTTTTTGCCGGGACTTCTACAACCAACCACGAGGATCGCAACGTCCGTCAGCGTGACACTCCGGCTTCCGCCACGTCATTTGTTGCTGCTTCGGGACTTAAAAGGCCCAGGCTTCAACTTTAGCAGCGTTTTGGGACCACTTCCGACTCGTGGGCGAATGGGACGCCGCATGCACCAGTCGGAGACGCCGTCTATGCGTCGTATTTCCGGGCACGGTAGCCCGCAGACTCAGTGCCCGTCTGCCCCTCAGCCCCCGACCTGTCCCTGGAGGACTACGACCCCGCGCCGGACGAGGAGCTCATCTGCGTGGTCTGCCACTCGGTGCTGCAAGAGCCCGTGGAGTGCCGGTGCCGGCACGTCTTCTGCCGGCGCTGCATCCACGAGTGGCTGCACAAGAACAGCAGCTGCCCCGTGTGCCGCAAGCGGGTGCTGGCCTCCTCCCTCGTGCCCGCCCTGCCCCTGGTGCAGAACATGGTCAGCCGCCTCAAGGTGCGTCTGTCGCCCGTCCTGCCTCCCGGGCAGTTTTGTTCCTTAGTTCGGCAGGCCGTACGGACCCGTGGAGGGCACGGTGAGAGCCGAGCTCGAAAAGGATTTATTGCAAAATATGAGAAGGGGAAAGTGGAATTGCTCACGTTTGGTTATGTTATTCGTGCCCATTTACAGCGATTGAACCGGCATCGATAAAGGTATGTGTATAAAGGACCTACCGTAAAATGCCAGGGGGCATTTTACGGTAGGTATGTACAAAGTGTACACGGTATGTACAAAGTGTACATACCGTGTTACGAAGGTAATCCATACGGAGTTTATTTCAGCTCTATATCACACAAAACAAGAAGATAGAATCGACAAGAGTCCCATTTCGACGAGTGTTCGTCAACACTGCCTCGGAAAACAAGGGGAAGAGATTGACCTCACCTCTTAATCTAAAATTGAGGTCAGCGATCAAACTATAATGCGGGAAGGGTCCGCAAGGGTCGCGCGGGCATATTCCATTCAGCAAGCGAGCCGGTCGTAGGCAGACGGTCTTTCGACGAAGCAACGCTGCGCCGAGTCGGAGTGCCTGCTAGGCCTATACTCTGAGCAGCTCGCTTCGTCGGAGGGCTTTTCTCGGGTGTTTGTAGATCCAATGTTCTTGTTCGTCGTGGTCTGTTTTAAGGGGGGACACTACCCAGAAAAAACAATTTCTGCAAAAAAACATTCATTTTGAAAAATGTCATATTTACATCCACCAACATCTAGAGGGTATTCTCAGAAAGTTTCATTAGGTTGTACTGCATAGTTAATTTTTTATAAATTATTTTTGGTCCACCAACGCTAAAGAAAAGGTAGAGGTTGGAGCACTTTGAACGCATTTTTCTGCATTCCACTTTCTGGCATAAATTTCACTTTAGGAAAACTATCGCTTTGTTATTACATAACCTGGATTCATTTTTACAAGCTTTTCTGGGGTGAAATTTTAAGGGGAAGATAACTATGAGCTTGTATTTTTTATTTTTGTCATTTTTCATTATCAAAAACAAAAATTTTGGACAAAGGATGGAAATCTAAAAAATTGTATTTGTGTTTATGTGGCTTTTTTGTCATGAAAGATGGTATAACATAGAAATTTAGCTCCATAGTTATCTGCTCTGAACTGTCCTAATGCAATATAACACACGAAAACGACAAATTTGTAAGCTATTTCAAAACGATAGTTTTCCTACGCAGGCACACTCACTTTCATCTTTGAACGTTTGCAGTTTTTTTTGTACTTCACCCAGGTTAACAAAATTTGGCAGAAATGTTCTCAACATCAACAGAAACAAGCCCTGTAAATATAATTTAAATCAAACAAGTGGTTCAAAAATTTACTTTATTGGGTAGTGTCCCCCCTTAAGTACTTTTTTTCTTGCTGCTTGAAGTCGGCACACGCGAGAAGAACACGTAGAAAAATGAACGTTCAGTCAGTCAGAGTTTTGAGAGGAAGGAAATCAAATGAAATAAACGTTCGTCGGTCGTCGAACTGAAGTCGGCCCTGCCCTACTGCGCACGCGCAGTAGTTGCTTCGTTTACCACACGATAGATGGCGCTTGGCTCAGCATTATCAAATTTGGCAATTTTCGCCACACATCTCTAATTATGCTACAAAATGTGGATCTGAATATTATTTAACAAAACTTTTAGGAAACATTCGCCGGCTATTTATTGTTTACGATCGCGGTGCTGCTGAGGTGACCCAATAGGCGACGTGGATTCGGCTGACGTGCTCCGTTTCCTGCGGATGCATCGTAGTGAAAAGGCGAAGGAAAGAAGGCGCAAAAGAGTCCAGTTTTTTTTTTTTTAAGTTCTATAGCAAATAATTTTTTTTGGCTCCCTATTTTTGTGTTTTTGTGTTTCTTTTCACACCTTTTACGACGTGCGGTGGATGAAATTCGATTTTAAAATCATTTCATGGTCCTTTTAAATAAAAAAAAAAAAAGCTTATAGGTTGCATTTACTGGGATGCCGACAGGTGTTTGCGAGCATGGTGGCTTGCAAATTGACACCTGTCGGTATCCCAGGAGTGCTGGAACCATGGATGCGATCATGACACTTGTAGCCCATCACGGAGCAGAGGGGCTACATTTATGGGAATTGGCGGCCTTATTGATTTTAAACACGCGCAAACAAACAACTCGAGCCAGGTTAAATAAAAAAAAAAAAAGCTTATAGGTTGCATTTACTGGGATGCCGACAGGTGTTTGCGAGCATGGTGGCTTGCAAATTGACACCTGTCGGTATCCCAGGAGTGCTGGAACCATGGATGCGATCATGACACTTGTAGCCCATCACGGAGCAGAGGGGCTACATTTATGGGAATTGGCGGCCTTATTGATTTTAAACACGCGCAAACAAACAACTCGAGCCAGCTTAAGCAAAGCAGCAGGGGCAGGGCGGTAGGTCTACGCCATGTCAGCTACGAAAACTTGTACCCACACGCAAGCCTACATAAACAAGTATATTTGCGATGGCTGTTTGCTGCAAACCGCATCGGTGGAGGAGGTTTTTTTATGAACATCTTTGTGAATACGAGGCTTGCACTCGTGAAATACCATGTTTGAAAAAATGAAACCCTATGTTTTTGCCCGCATAACTAAACTGAACATTGCAGAAAGCTGAAACTTCATCAGAATGTGACACTAGTAGTGGGGGTAAAATATAACAGTTTGAGAACACTTAACGTTTTGTGGGGCAAATGATAAAAATGAAAGACAACATTTTTTTCTATGAGCTGACATCCACTCAAGACTAATTTTGTCGAAGCAAGAAATGACATTGGAGTGGAACAGTCTTGTCACCAAGAAAGGAAACAATGTTGTCTTCCCATCTAGAAAGTCTGTTTTACTGAAATAAGTGCCACAGGCGGCCACGGTCTCATTTCTTGTTTTGACAAAATTAGCCTTAAATGTACGTCAGCTCTTAGAGAAATTTAGTTTTTCTTCATGTCCTATCCCCACCGCTATCGTCACATTTCAATAGAGTTTCGTCTCTGCCTTGTGTAATTTTACATGGGCCAAAAAACTGGTTTATTTTCTCAATTGAGGCCAGTAGATTCATTCGATGAACTATGCGGTGTATACAACTACTTGCAAATGTCTGCAGCTTTGTCTGTTAGGGTTTTAAATCAAAGCAAAAGTGGCAGTCTCGTGATATCTTTGCAAACAATAATGACTATATGGGTTGCCTGCTTCTTAAGCATAAAAATATGTAGAACAAAAGACGATCATAGCACACAGTTAGTTTTACAACTAACATTTCACACATCAATCATTTGTTCGGCTAACGAGAGGTGAGAAGCGGCGCTTCCAAAAACCCTTGTGGACAATGCTGCTTCCAGCTAAATTGCGTCTCGCGGCGTAAACGTTTAAATTTTTAGTTTTTTCATGTGTCACAAAATAAGAAAACTTATTTATTTCGTGACTCATTCATTTCATTTAATTTATTTGACCCACACGCACAGTTACTCTATGCGCAAAAAGTTTGGGATCTGACTCGTTGCCATTGCTCTGGCTGCAGGTGAAGTGCCGCAGCCCCGGCTGCGGGGCCCGGGTGGCCGTGGAGAACTACGTGGCACACATGGGCGCGTGCGAGTTTGGCGAGGCACCGTGCCCGCACGAGGCGTGCGAGCACCGCTGCCCGCGCCGCGACCTGGAGGACCACGTGAAGACATGCCCCCGCCGGGAGGTGGCGTGCGAACTGGGCTGCGACAGCGTGCTCTCGGCGGACCAGCTGACGGCACACAGCTGCGTGGAGGAGCTCAAGCGCAAGCTCCAAGGCAAGGCACTCCCGGCCGTTTGGCCGTGCAGTATAGCCCGCTTATAGCGAACATGTCGGGAACCAGAAATCAGTTTGTTATACCCGTTTTTCGCTATATCTGGATAAAAAACAAAAACAACAAAATAATGTTTTAGAGCAAGGGTTTGCTGCTTACCAAAGAAGCTGTCGATACACGACTGCACACCGCAATTGACATACGGGCTCACAATTGCACGAAATTGTTCTGCCCAAGCCCGGCACCAACGGGGTACGACCGAAGCACATGAACTGCCGCGATCGCAGCTTTGGTCTAGTCCGACGGTTTCACACGGTAGTCGTCGCTGTCGCTCGTTGGCTCGCACATTCGCAACGAGGCCACAGTCCGCAAGGTCTTCGTCCATCATCTCTGTCGGGACGAACTCGATGAGGTAAACGCTGGGCATGACGAACCGGACCTGTGTCAGGCTCTCCCACATCTGTTCCAGCGGTGCGCAGATCTCGTTGACGGCAGGTACTCCGTCGTCGGCAACTACTTCGTCGCTTGCAGCAGGAGCCTCCAAAACACTCGTCCAAGAAAAGCCGCCGCTTTTGAAGCAGGCGGTGATGGTTTCGGGCTTCTCATCCTTCTACGCTCCGCTGGCCATAAACACTGCTCTGGCCAACGTAACGGTGCGTTCCTTGGGTGGCACTGCGGTTTGAATGTCAACAAGCAGACGCTCAATCACTCGGCGATGGTAGTGCGCATTCAAGTTCGCTATGACTCCCTGGTCCATTGGCTGAAGTTTGGCTGTGGTGTTTGGAGGCAGAAAGAGCACCTCCACGGCGCTGAGCAGTGGGTTGATGCAGTAGGCACTCCAGTTATCCTGTAGCAGCAGCACCTTCCAATTTTGCGAAGCCATGTCTGCGTCAAAATCCGTGAGCCACTTGCGGAAGTGGTCCCCCGTCATCCACGATTTTCTGTTCTGGACACAGGTCAATAGGTCAATAGGTCACGGCAGGGGTTCTCAATTTGGGATCCGGGGAACACGGGTTCCACGAGCTGGTCTCATGGGTTCTGCGAACACCCAAATTGCCACCCCCCCTCCCCCCAATCCCCCCGCCCCCTCCCCCGCCGCAGGCTGCGCGGCAGGACCATGCAAAGCGCCTTCATCTCACTTTGTACTGACATCGCGATTGATATGGTGGGGATATATGGGAAGCAACACAAGCAAAATTGCCTACAATTGTGCATCTGTTGCTTCTCGGACGGCAAATATAGAGGCGGGGGGAGCAGTGTTCCGTGGCAGTTCTTGAGGCTTCCTGGGGTTCCGTGAGACCAAAAAGTGTGAGAACCCCTGGGTCACGGGAAGAGACTTGATGGTCGCAAAGTCCTGTGGTGTGAGGGACTTCCCAATCAGCAGCAGCCCTCGCTTGTCAGTGCCGCCCATGTTGGCACAAACTAGAAGTGTGGCACGCTCCTTGCTTGTCTTGGCTCCGACGCACTTGTCATCCTTGGATGCCGGTGTCTTGGCAAGCAGAAGTTGATAAAAGAGACCAGTCTCATCCGCATTGTAGATGTTGCGATCAGCGCAAGTGGCAAAGATCTGATCAAGGTGTTTGTCGAGCCAAACTTGGAGTGATGCGTCGTCAGCGGGCGCAGACTCTCCATTGATGTGTTTGCAAGCGATGCTGTGACAATCCTTGAAGCGTTGAACCCAGCCATTTCTAGGTTTAAAGTCGTCGTGCCCCAACACAAACCCCAAGTTCCGAGGCTTTTCCAGAAGGCTGATCGCTTAGTGGAACTGCCTCTGTGCGGGCGTTGACGAACTACTTGTACAGCGCCTCTTCCACATCATTGTACAAAGGCTTGCGAATCTTCTTGCGGTTTGTGCTGCCATCATCATCGTCTAGGGCTGCATCGATCTTGTCTCAGTTCTTGATGATTGTCGACGGTGTCGACAATCATCGTATTTGTGGGCGATCTCCGACTTTTTGACATTGAGCCGAACTTCCTCAACAGTCGCCCGTTTCACCTTTAGAGACAGAACCTTTTTTCTGGAAGGGGGTCAAAATGCCGGTGCTTGACATGATCAAAGAAGTACGTGGGCGGTCCGGTCAGTTGCGATTGTACTCCGTTTCATACATAGCATGCAACGCAGTCAAAGCTAGCGCACCGGTTTGCACTGCCGACCGCCTACGTTCGCCCCATAAAATAGTGCTACCCCTTCAAGAAAAAAAAAAAAAAAAAAAATCGTAAAATGTGCATTTTTGGAGCTAGTAACTGATAGTGGCGTTATGATTTCGACAGAACACCAATTTTTTTTCAATAAAAAGGAAAAGATAATGTAAGCTACTCCAAAGTCCAAATTGTTTTCTGTTTTCGTCCGTGCGGCAGTCGCTTCAGGTTTTTGGGTTGTGCGGCTTCCCCTGCCTCGCCGGTTTTGAGAAGATGGCCTCTTACGCAGGGAAGCTTTCCTCTCCTGCTCGGATATTTTCGGAGATCCGTTGTGTGAAGATCTCGAAAAAGTGCAAGCAGGTGATCGCCAACGTGTACGCGAGTCCAAGAACGCGTTTCCCGGAGACGTCGGTCCGTGAAGTCCTGGAGACGGTCAGTAACGACACCGGAGTGTCTGGCAAGGTGGCGTCCCCGAAGCGAGGACCTCGCAACGTGAAAGTTTCGAGCGTGCGGACCGTGTTGTGAACTGCCTTCTGTTATTTCTGGTGTTAAAGTCGGCCTTGTGGCTTCAAAGTGAATCAAGCCTCAAGAAGGAACCGTGTCGGTGATGAATCGTGCCTACGGCCTCGTCTTGATCGGCTAAGCGGACGATGCCTGTGGTTGCATTCCGAAGCGTCTGGGTTTGTTTGCCTGCGGGACCGTAACCTCGGTCGGCTCCGTCTGCCTGAGGCACCTTAACCTTGGTCGGCTAAGTGGACGACGCACATGCCCGTGCCTGTATTCCGAGGCCCCTGCTTTCCTCGGAAAAGGAAACAACACTCGATCCTGCTCTCGAGTGCCGTGTGTTGTGTATGCGTCTATTGTGAATTACTCCCGGTTCATGGGAACGCCGGCACCAGAGCAGCGAGATACTGCCGTCTGGATGACTTCCATACACCGGCGAGTATTTGCACTCTGAAGGAAACTTCCATGAAGTCCCATCACGCGAGGGAATGCCAAGCCGTCTGATCAATGGCGGTGCGATCCCCTAATTCCAGTATTCGTTGTATAAAGGACCGTCCACCGCACTCTCAAGGTACTCTCTGATTTTCACGCTACCATGTAAATAAACGGCTTTAAATTGAGACGCCCTGGATCTCGACCGTTCTTCCGTTTTGACGAGGCCGGTACGGGGTGCAAACGGAACACCAGCCCCTAGTCTACCGCCTTATAAATAAAAACAATAAGAGAATAGGAATTGAAATATACACTTCCGCAATGCGCACAATTTCGCACAAAAAATGCGTCGAAAAAAAAAGAAAGAAAAAAAAAAAAATCCTTTGCGCTTGAAGTAGATTTGAAGCACCGCCACCGAGACGTCGGTATCGCCAGAGCAGCGCCTTGTACCACTCGGCCACGAAACGCGCGGAGTAACACATTTTTTTGTGTTTTTTCATGCGCACTACTTGAGTACCTTTCCCAGCGTTGCACGCTCTGTTTGAAACGGAGTATAGGTGCGTTGAGTCAAGTTCGTAGTCAGTCTTTGCCGAGGGAGGAGCAGTTAATGTAGGGTCCGTTGTCAAAGGGAAATCAGGAAGGCAGTCTGGGTCACAAGATGGCGGGCCAGCATAGAAGCAGGGGGGGAACACTATCCAAACCACGGTGTAAGATAAACAGGTGGGGAAACGAGAGCCAAATGAGCGACCGGATTGTGTCCCCCTCGGTTTTCTCTTTTTTTGTGGCGCCATCTATGTGGAGCACCGCAAACTCTCACTCCGGGTGGGCGACCGGTGGCGACCGGCTAAACTGGCGGAGATGGTTTCTCGTGGATTTTCAATAGAGGACTGTCGTGCTCTCGGTTTATTTTGCGCACTCTCCTGTAGAGTTCCATGCAAATCCGATTCCAATTTTTTTCCTCTCGCCGCAGCGCCATCTGTCGCAAATCGGGGGTACCCGCAAGCAGACGAATACACAATCCGGTCACGGCGCTGCGGTAGGCTTCTATGGGCCGTTTCACCACCTGTCTATCTTACACCCTGATCCAAACGGACATCGAGAGGAGAGTGAACCAGAACTACGTGGGAAACGGGAGCACGGCAGCGCGCGCAACACGTTAACGCGATAAGCGAATGGGTTTTTCTAGGTTTTCCACGCTGCCCACATCGCGTGTCTTGCGGAGAAGCATTTCGTTTCTGCGCGAGGTGATTAGGCGAGCAGTGCAAACTTTTCTGATGTATGCACTGTCAAAATGCTCAGTTCGCACGCTGTTGGTCAGCAGCTACCTTTTACATTTTGTTTATTTTAGCTGAGATTAAATTTCATGGTATTGTTCATAATCAATTCGAAGAATTTCGGCAAATTTTTGTTCGTTATATCGGCACAGGCCTTCCAAGATTATTCGCTAAAAGTGGACTCGAATCGCATTGCAGGCATACAAACGGGAGCGGGAAATCAAAATTCCTTCGTTATATCCGCTATTTAGTTATTTCCGGGTTTGTTATAAGCGGGCTGTGCTGTACTCGGTCTCACTGGAGCAACGCAGGGCAGACGCTGCTCGGATAATGCGCAGGCGCTGCCACACTGACCCGCTCATTACAAAAATGTTAACCCACCTGACCGACCCGTACATGCCGCTTGGCAGCGACAGTCTCGTGCAGCTTATTACAGAAAAAGCTCATTTGAGCAGTCAATGAAACGATTTGTCAATGAAACAATCTGTCAATGAAACGTCGTTTGATAAACTGATTGCCACCGGTTCCAGATGCGTTACACGCATAACACACTCATGTGCTTCCCGGGTTCATTAGAATGAGACGAATTTCAATTTATTGGGGAGTAGAATGTGCAAAGAGTACGCTTCAGCGAGAAGTTTTCACGGGTTCCGC